TCTTGTCTTTCCACAGAAGATTTTGCCATAGATTTAAATAATTTTTTAAAAAAACAGCAGTCAGAAAAGTTTGATTCTTCTTTCCATCTTGAAGTTCCTATTTGGCTGGGGACAAATGTAACTGAGCCTAGCCAACATATCCAGGGGTGGCTGAGATCTGTGACAGATGCCAGGCTCCTCCTCCATGTCTGTCTGGATCACACTTATGGGTTTAATGATACAGAGTGTGTGCGTCTCCTTCCCTACAGGCCAGACAGTCCCTGAGAACACGGAGAAGACCAGCAGGGTCGCCTTCTGCCCTGCAGCTCCCCGCCCCAGCAGCTAATCAAAGTCCACTCGTTTTATCACTAGGGCTGACGTGTGTGTGTAGGTATGACTTGCCATTGGGGGGTTCCCACAAAATCAGATGGGCCACATTCCACTTTCTAGGTCCCTTTCTTCCTTACAGTTCATAAAAGGAAAACTGCTTCCGTGTTTTGGACAGAAGAAAGAAAATACGTAAGTCCACTTTTTTTTTTTTTTCCCTTTCCAAGCCTTGTTCTGTCCTGAGAACATGGTTTAAATTATTCTAGTCACAGGCAGGCTATTCAAATAAAATAGAATTTCAAACCACACGGGGCTTGTTGAGACATTCAGGCTTCTAGATGTGTGAACGGCAGGGGGAGGGGCCGGCGTGGGGCCTTGCCGCTCTCTGTCCTCTTTATTACCAGCAGCTGCAATGCTAGACACATCCGACCGTGTCTCAAAGCCAAAGCGGACGCGAGCAGGTCTGACAGCAAATGAACACATGAAAGCCCTGCCAGGCTCCCCTCCCAGATGGCAACTTTAATTATTTGAACTGGAGCTCAGCAAAATAAAAATAAAATAAAATCAGAATATATTTTAAGTGGCTCCCCTGTTTCCCACAGAGAATAGCTTTCAGGGGGGTGAGAGGAGGAGGGAGAGATGAAAACAAAAAAACAAAAAACAACGCTATCTCTTGTTTGTGGCTGGGCTAGGCAGAGGTTTTTAAATATTCATGTTCCATGTGCAACTGTGCAGAGCGAGAGGAGGAAGCGCCTGCAGCTGGACCAGCCCGTGAGAGACAGCGGCAGTGGTGCGGCAGGCATTTGGAGGAAGGTGGTGGAGTTGGAGAGCCCTGCACACCAGTTAAGCATCACTGGTGAACATCTGGCCTGGATCCATGTGGACTCTGAGGGCCATTTCCCCAGACCTTTCTTTCTCCCCTGCCTTCACCCCATCATTTCTGACTCAAATTTCTAAATGACAAGTTCTATCCCACCATTTGGCGTCGCAGATGGAGTCCCTGAGAGGTGCAAATGGTCAAGAAGCTTGGCTGCTAACTCAGAGTTTGGTGATTCACATCTACCCAGAGGTACCACAGAAGAAAGATCTTATATAATAAGCATAACCTATCTCCTTCGCTGAAGTCCCTGAGTACTCAGCAGCTAACTCCAAGGGTTTGAGGTTTGAATCTACCCACAGGTCCGTCAGGAGCAAGCCCTAAAACTCAGCCACTGGAAACCCTGCTGTACTCTGGGTTCTACTCTAACACTCATGGGGATACCATGAGTGAGAACTGATTTGACACCAACTGTCTAGGAGTCACAGATAAACCAAGGAAAACTCTAAATGGACTCAGAAGGAATTTTGGTCACAGTTGGAAAGTGTGCCTTATGGCCAATAAATATCAAGTCTCAATGTGCATCCAAATCACCAAGGGTAGGTCTTGGAAGAGGCAGATTCCTGGGTCCTACCTAGTTGTGCAGTGGTTACAAGTTGGGCTACTAACCTCAAGGTCAGCGGTTCAAAACTACCAGCAGTTCCGCAGGAGAAAGATGAGGCTTTCTGCTCCCGTAAAGATTTATAGCCTTGGAAACCCTATACAAGGTTACTATGAGTCGGAACAGACTTGACAGCACTTAACAAAAGCACAACCTTTCTAGTGATACCATTTCAGAGCTCTGGAGAGAGGCCTAGAATCTGCACGTAAAACAACCTTCAGGTGAGTACAATTGGAGCAACATAAACCTACTAGAGGCTCTTTTCTAGATCTTCAAGAAAATCCATCTCTGGAGACACTAGGACCCTTTTGGAAATTCACAGATGATTACAGGATTTCTTGAGAGAGAGTTGTGAGATGTTCTGCAATTACTTTAATTCCCTGGTGGTCCCATGGCTGGGCTTGGCGTGGCCTTGGGTTTAGAGAAGACACACTGTGGTGGGTTAGAAGCCTCCTAGGGGTCAGCCTGGGAGCTCAGCTGGGTCAGCTGCCTGTCTGTCCCCGTGGATCTGACCCTCATCATGAAAGTCTCCCAGGGCCATCTTTTCTGCACTTGTGCCCCACAGACAACAGAGGTCCCGCTACCACTGGTGAGATTTGAAGGCACTGATTAACCGTGTCTTCATACAGCAATGCAATATCCTGTTTCCCTGCCAGCAAACCTGGGAGAAAGAAATCAACTTCCTGCCTTCTGTAGTTAGGATTCAAATAAAATAAATGGTGGGGCTTACCAACCTTCAAATGCATATTTCCATTTTGGTTATTTATTTTTCTGATGAAAACATTTTCCCCAACACTGGAAATTTAAAAACCCATCAGCCTTAGATGAATAGTCTGAAAACCCGAAGGTGAAACAACCGCGAGAGCTGTGAATGTTCAATGGACTCACTGCTTCCCCTTCATTACGCCTGCCGATCCCAGTTCTGGAAAAGGGCAGGAACTAGAAGAAATAGCCCCGAGCAAAATTGACTGGAGGAAAAATAAAACATGCCAGTAAAACAAAACACCTGTTTAAGCTATTGATCAACTCAAAGGTTATTAGAGAAATGATAAAGTATTAGAAACATCTCATTTTTACCCTGACATTTCTTTTTCTGAAATTAGGCTCATATTAAAGCCAGTGAAAAATAAATTTAAAGATCCAATGTGTTTAAGGATGCTCCTGGCCTCTCAGGTGAGCCAACGATCTCTCCCACTTTTGATTTCCTCTTATGAAACCCTGTTTTCTCGGGACCTATGCAGAGGCATCTGAGAAATATCGAAGATGACTATGCAATTCCACCATCTGAGTCAGATAGCATGGTTCCTCAAATACAATTTAATTTAATGAATCTATTTATTTGTGCCTTGACTTCTTTCAAAAAGGATTTAAGGTGGCTTACAGAGACACAGAAAATCGAGTAAGATAACATAAACTGGAAGATGGTGAGAAAGTCAGGGCAAATGTAGAGTTATAAAGACCAATCTGGAGTGAGGCTGGTGCAAACTGTATATCGTCCTAGCTGGTAGGACCCAGCAAATACAACTTCTCAGATTAAACAGAAGAAATTCATTTATATATCTTTCCCATTCTGATTTAAGTCTGTGAGTTTTTATTTCACAAAATCCCCAAAGGGTTTGAATTTGCCCTGTAGGGGAAGCCCATTCTCGGCACTTCAGCTTTTCCAAGTGACACCTCTTTCAGATTTCTAGCAATCAAAGGAAGGGAAAAGAATCTGATCAGTTACACAATGCCCACAACTTGAAAGGAAACCAATTGCTATTGCACAGCTAGCTATTCCTGAAACTAAGCCAGAAAGGAATTTCTCCAGTGACTTTCCCAAAAGAAAGGAGTGGCCAAATCTAAAACACGTATTGGCTTTATAGCACATGTGAAGAGTCCAAGCCCAAGGCAGGTCCCTGCTCTTCTCGAGTGGGCAGTCAGATTTCTGGCTAAACCCTGCTTCCTTATCCCCCATTCTCCCTTTCTATGTTCATATAAATATTGACTGATTCCTATTGGGTGCCAGGCATTGCCAATCTGCTAGAAGGATCTGAGTTTGGGTAATGACATCTTCTAAAGAACATCAATGGCTAACTACTATCCTGCATTGTTGCGGCTGAGTCAGCTCCAACTCCAGGTGACCTTTATATATATATATATATATATATAAAACAGAACAAAACTGTTGCCTCATCCTGCACCCTCTTCAAGGTCTTTGATATGTTTGAGCCCATTGTTGAGGTTACTGTGTTAAGCTATCTCACTGAGGGGCTATCTCATTTTCATTAACCCTCTACTTCATCAGGCACTATGTCCTTTTCTTGTGATTGATTTTTCCTTTATGTACATTAACCTAGTGAATCCTCATACTTCTGAAGTAGGCATTATAATGTCTCTAACTCTCCAGGTGAAGAAATTGAGACCCTTAGAGGTTAATTACTTGCCCAAATAACCCACACAGCTAATCAGTAGTGGAACTTGGCTTGAACTTGGGCAGTGTGACTCAATCTCTGAGCTCAGTTACTATGCCATGTGGAGGGATAAGTACATTTTTTGGCCCCTTGGTCCTGGTGTGGCACTGTAGGATCATGAACTGGACCACAAGGTTGATTTTAACTGCAAAGTTGGCAGTTCAAACTCACCAGCCACTCCTAGGAAACCCTATATGGGGTCGATATGAGTCAGATCTGACTCGATGGCACTTAACAACAACAAAAACAGAGAAGATTGCCTATTGCTAAGGATTATGACACCAGTCCTTTTGTCTGTCCACTAAAACAGTTAACAGCTCTTTGAACCATCTGGTTAAGTGGATGTAGGGGTGCCTTACTACATGCTATTGATATCTTAGTGAGATTTCTATAAATCAAACCTTTGATGCTCTATCATATTGGAAATGGATTATGAGTGCTGATATTTCTAAAAAGGGATTCTGTAAAAGTCTTTTGTAAATCTTCATTACCTTCCCCTGTCGTGTCTTGGCAAATGTTTTCTAGGTTCACTTAAGTCAATGTCCTCCTGCAAATGAGTCTCTGCAGATGGGACTTTACCATTCTGATGGATGTTCTCTGACTAGAAGATGGCCCAAAGAGCCTTTTTATCCTGAGTTGATCCCAGGAGAACAACCAGCCTATCCATACAGGCTACTTTCTTCATTTTAGGGTTTTATCAAAATGTGGCCAAGGAGAAGGGTAGGAGGAGAGGTCAGGGAACTGGAGGAACAGGGATACTTGCCTCACACGGAGAGTTCTTCATGGGTGCAGGAAATGTAGCACTGGTCAGTGTAGCACTTTCATACGTAGGGACATCAGTGGTGCTGAGCAACAGGGATTGGCCTGGAGGTGAGAGGGGCAAAAATCAAGAATGCACCATCATCAGGAACTGAAAGGTTCAAGAGAACTGTGAGGGGAAGGCAGGGTTAATGGATTCTACACATTACCATGGAGCTCAGGCACAACTTTGAGGATATGCAGTTCTGCTTCCTAAATTGAATGAGAGAGTTTACTTGTCACCATCAGTGAGCTCTGACTTATGCAAAACCTTCATTTCAAGCTGCCTATAATGTCCCAGCATCTGCATCCTGACCTCACAACATCACCAGTGTTAGCCCACAGTCTGGAGACAGCTTGAAGCATGCCCCCTGCCCTCATAATCCATTTCCATCATGTCCTCCAATGACACTTCTGAACTTCACTCTCCTCACCCGCAGATGAACACAGGTCACCCTGTGCCACATGCTCTGCCCAAGGATGCTCATATGCTGCATTATCTCAGCACTGATCTGCCTGCAAACCTGGGACTGAGGGTCCCTTACCCTGTGGGTGATAGAAAACATACCTGTAAGTCTCCAAGAACCGTGGAGCATCTTATAGGTGGTATGGGCTATAGAGGTGGGTGCCACAGTGAACTCACAACCACTTAGGGGTCCCACAGAGCCCTGGACATTACTTTAGTTATTCATCCTACCTTTTCTCCATCTTTTGGTAAAGTGCGATTGACTTACAACCAACTAACAAATTTAGGTGGGTCCAGAGCAGAGAATCCTAGACAGACCAGAATTCTCCAAAAATACATCATCTCTCCTTGAGGAAGATTCAAGGAGCTAGGATATGTGGCTGAGGAGAGAAGAGACTTCATGTAGTAGGTGGGTCACAATTAGCTTCAAATTATCTAAGGGCTGTGTTGTGGGAGAGGAGTGGTTTTGTTTTGTGGGCCTTCAGAATATAAAAGTCATGGTCAATGAGTTATAGAAAGGTGGTGGTGGTTATGTGCTGTGGAGTCAGTTCCGACTCATAGAGACCCTTTATAGGGTTTCTGAGGCAGTAAATCTTTACAGGAACAGAAAGCCCCATCTTTCTTCTGCAGAACTACTGGTAGTTTAGAACAGCTGACCGTGAGATTAGCAGTCCAACTTGTAACCACTACGCTACCAGAGCTCCTTTGTACAGAGGTTGTTGCTGTTAATAAGTACAGTAGAGTCGGTTCCAACTCATAGCGACCCTGCATAGGGTTTCTGAGGCTGTAAATCTTTACGGGAGCAGAACGCCTCATCTTTCTCCCATGGAACTGCTGGTAGTTTCGGACTGCTGACTTTGAGGTTGGCAGTCTGACTCATAACCACTACGCTACCAGATCTCCTTATGTAGAGAGATAGAAGTAAGGAAAATGGCTTTATGATCCTGAGCTGTTGAACAATGAAGGAAGCTAAGAGGTAGTGAAAGTCTTGCCATTAGAGGTTTTCATCAAGGACAAATTATTTATTGGCTATGGGCTATGGGGAGTCCTGGTGTGGCACTATAGAATAAGCACTCAGCCTCAAGGTGGGTTTGAACTGCAAGACTAGCTGTTCAAACTCACCAGCAGCATCTCAGAAACCCTATGCAGGGTTGCTATGAGTCAGAACGATGGCATTTAACAACAATTGGCTATGGACTCCTGGTGTAGTGCTGTGGATCAGCACTGGACTGTGAACAACAATGTTGGCAGTTCAAATCTACCATCTGCTCCTCAGAAACCCTATGCAGGGTTGCTATGAATTGGAACTGACTCAGTGGCACTTAACAACAACAACATGGGAGCTGTAAGGGCAATTCTCATACAGAGAGTAGAGACATTAAGATCAGGTCTAACTTGAGCTCTGTTACTCTTCCTTGTACAAATAGGGCACCAATGATGATGCAGTGTGGTGAGGGAGCAGGGGCTCACCTCATGTAGAAAGAGGCCCCGACAGAATTCTCCTATGGCTGCAAACCACTCAGCCTTCTTTCTAATGGGGCCACTGTGAGAGGGTCTTGGCCACAAGTCACCCCATTCAGGTGCAGCCAGCTCTGAAAACCAGAACTACCTGCAGAGGCACCCTTAGTGCTTGGTCAGATGTTCTTCTTGCTCACAATTATTATTTTTTAAACATTCCATAGAATGTGCAATCTTTGCTTGGCAAGAGAGTGAATTTTAGTATGAGGATCTTTTGCTCCCCAAAGAACAGGCAAATGCAGGGGAGGAAGGAGGGAGAGAGCGCCTGCAGCCCTGTCCTGCAGGGTTGGATGACTTGTCCTATGCAGCAGCTCAACGTGGGAGCTCTCTCTGATGCCACAGTCTGCCCACGCCAATGTCTCTACAGCTGGTGTTATGGATGGCCGCCTTTTGGGTGTGTGGCGACTCTTTGCTTCTCTGGCAGTCAAACATGGGCTGTGGGGAGGATGAGTTCTGGCACACTGGGGGATGGCTGAGGAAGTTGTGGTCTCCTGTGTCTGTGGAATATGACACAATGTGGGGCAAATGACACAAGCTTTCCTGTGCCTCAGTCTTGCCAACTATAAACTGGATTATGGTTTTACTTACTTCTAGGCCTCCCTGTGCCTCAGTCTCCCCGGTTGTATATGGTTTTTCTTTCTGATACAGTGAATTATATGCCCAACACAGTTATGTTTAACATAGGTGATTCTCAAAAAGCATGTATTGAATTAATGGATTATTTTTTCTGCCATTATTCTTCTCTTCCAACTAGTCCTTCATTAAATAGTTTTAAGTAATAAAAGATGCCCTCTACCTGGGTCCATATTTACTCAGTCTAAAGTCCCAGGAGTTCTGAAAAGGGAAGTCTGTGTGAACACCCAGGGCAAGCTTTGGGCAGGCCTTATCCTGAGGGTCGGGGGAGGCCCAGTTGCTTGTAGTGGTGCCCTGAGCCTCTTATCTCTCCAGGTGGACCCAGGTAAGAGAGGGACAATACCTTGGTGACCCTGGAACTGGGCATCCTTTAGGGTCCTGACCTGCCACCGGGATGTGTGGCGTGACAGTGTGCCTTGGGTCCAGCCACAGAAGCCATCTTCAAAGTCACAGTAAAAGCCAGCAGGGAGTTTACCTGCAGGGAGAGCACAGTCATTTCTAAGCTGGCCAATGCCAAATGAAGTTAGTCATGCATGATCAAGTTGTCATTGATAATAGCTCTCCAACAAGAATTCTACATGTATAGTAACACTGATCATACTTAAAAAGAAGATCCCAGTCTCTAACTCTTGCATTAATTCTGATCTTCAGAAAATAAAGTAACAATGATAATAATAATTCTAAAGCATAGGCATTGTTAACTTAGTTTTTGACTCATAGGGTGTGGTCTTGTAGGGCAAGCATTGGATTATAAGGTCACTATGAACTGAAAGGTCGGTGGTTCAAACTCACCAGCTACTCCTTGGAAACTCTGTTGTTGTTAAGTGCTGTAGTTGAGTTGGTTCCAACTCACAGCAACACTGTATAGGGTTTCTAAAGAGTGGCTGGTGAGCTTGAACCACCAACCTTCCAGTTCAAAACAACCTTGCAGTCCAGCGCATTAACCTACAGCGCCATACCAGTCGCTACGAGTTGGAAGCGACTTGATGACATTTAACAACATATGACAAAGCAGAGGCTCAGAAATGTTAAACAACATGACCAAGGTCACACAGCAAACAGATAATCCAACTAGGACATGAAGGTGTTGTTGTTAGGTGCCATTGAGTCGGTACTGACCCATAGTGACCTTAAGCACAGCAGAATGAAACACTGCCTGATCCTGGACCAACCTCACTACTGTTGCCACACTTGAGTCCATCGATGCTGCCACTTGGCCAATCCATCTCGTAGGGGGTCTTCCTCTTTTTCTTTGACCCTCCACCTTACCAAACATGATATCCTCTAGTGACTGGTCCTTCTTGACAATATTTCCAAAGTATGAGAGACAAAGTTTGGCTATCTTGGCCTCCAAGGAGCACTCTGGTTGCACTTCTTCCAAAATGGATCTATTGGTTCTTTTGGCAGCCCATGGCACCTTCAATACTCTCCTCCAACACCATAACTCAAAAGCATCAATTCTTCTATGGTCTTCCTTATTCACTGTCCAGCTTTCACATGCATATGAGGTTATTGAAAATACCATGGCTTGGGTCAGGCGCACCTTAGTCCTCAAGCTGACATCTTTGCTCTTCAACACTTTAAAAAGGTCTTGTGCAGCAGATTTGCCAAATGCAATACGTCGTTTGTATTCTTGACTGCCGCTTCCGTGAGTGTTGATCGCTAACATGAAGTAGATCTTCTGATTCTCTGCACTCTTCTTACTGATCCATCACAAACATGAACCCCAGGAGAGGCCAACACATAACTCATTAGAGCACATTCCTTAAAGTTGACACAATGACAAGAAGGTGATGGAAGCAGTGGTTGTGTTCGCTAGGAGTTAGTTTGTGTCTCATTGCTACCCTCATATGCAGAGACACAGACTGCTCAATACTTCGTATTGGCTTCCCTTCAACTCCCAACCCTCTTGCAGTTAAATAGAGCCCCATGATTAGTCTGGCCAATAAAATGTGAGCACAAGTGATAGGCGTCTCTTTGGTTGGGGCCGTGAAAAGTCAGTGACTAAGGAGAGTGCTTGTTCCTGAGGGGGCTGCTAAATGATATCAGAGCCTCTGACAGTTTGGGTCCCTGAGTGATTCTGTGGAGCAGAGACACGTCCCACCCTAACCCTCACTAGACAGACCATGTAAATGTTATGATTGAACAACCAGGGTTTTGGGATTGCTTATTACTGAAGCATAACCTAGCTCATTCTGACCAAAGCAACCCTGGTTCCCAGGACGTCTTCATATCCTCTGTTGGTTCAGGGTAAAGCACCTCATATTGCTGTTCTCTTCTTCAGATTGACCTCAGGTACCATTTAAGAAAGCCACAGTTGGCTTTACAGACCACCTGTCTCCCAACTACCTACAGAAAGAGGAGGAAAGGAGAAGAGAGTTTGCGAGCACTCACTTTCTCCAGCTTCAGGGAGACTTTCAGCTCTGAGGAGCCAGTGGGCCCTTCCAGGCTGTTCTGGTAGCAGCAGGGCTGTGTCTGCACATTGAAGAGAGTTGTCTCTACTGAGACCCACTGTTCTCCATGCCCTTCCTCTGTCTTAGCCCTTTTGGCAGCAGCAGGCTGACAAAGACGGCCCTCATGCTTCCTGGCTGTGACAGCACCTTAGTGAATTATTACTCATTTCCCCCTGATTCTCTGTGCATTTCACACAGAGGCAGAGTTATAAATTAAAACCGCCTGTCACTGACTTTGAGCATCTCTTCCCATTTATACCCCCCTGAAGAAATCATTTCCCCCCTAAGCCCTGCATGTTCCTCTGATTAAAAATCCAAAAGCTAAGGAGCTCTTTCTGTTTTATTTTTTATTCCTCCTCCAGGGATCCCACATTCACTTCCTTGTTCAGAAACTAACTGGTGGCAGGAAGTGACCTTCCATGACATGACCTTCAAAAGCAGTGCTTCAAACTGGGGACCACAATGAGAGACTCAGCAGGAGATCAGCTTCTGCTGGAAGGAGGAAGCAGGGCTAAGTTGTGGCCTGAGCAACATATCATTCCTTCCTTTTCCTTTAAAGGAACTCTGGTGATACAGTGGGTTAAGTATTGGGCTGTTAACGGCAAAGTTGACAGTTTGAACTCAGCAGCTGTTCCATAGGAGAAAGATGAGGCTGTCTGCTTCTGTAAAGATTTATAGATTCAGATACCCTATGGAATACTTTAAGGAGCTCTGGTAGCGTAGTGGTTACGACTCGGGCTGTGAACCTCAAGGTCAGCAGTTCGAAACTACCAGCTGCTCCGCGGGAGAAAGATGAGGCTTTCTACTCCCGTAAAGATTTACACCCTCGGAAACTCTGTACAGGGTCGCTATGAGTCGGTTCCGACTCCACGGCACATAACAACAACAACAATGGAATACTTTTGTCTTGTCCTATAGGTTACTATGAGACATCAACTGGTGGCAGTGGATTTGATTTTTTGGGTCTCCCTTTTAGGAGATAGAGGGATCCTTGGTGATGTGGTGGATTAAGCATTAGGCTGTTAACCACAAGCTCAGCCTTTCCATGGGAGAAAGATGAGGCTTTCTGGTCATGTAAAGATTTACAGCCTTGGAAACCCTATGGAGTAACTCAACCCTGCCCTATGGGATCACTAGGAGTCAGAATTGACTCAACCTCAGTGTTTGGGTGGGTTTAGGAGTTGGAGACAGAGAAGAACATAGTCTGACATGTAGGTGTTGGTACTTCAACAGAACTGGAATCCAGACACCTCGATTCTAGTTCTGTACTCACAACTTCCTGGCTGTGTGATCTTAGGCAAGTCATTTCATTCCTTACAGCCTCAAGATTCTTGTCTATTAATTGAGACATCAGTACCAGTTTCATAGGACTGTTATGAGTATAAAATAAAGACAAGACTGTAGAAACACATCATAAACAGAGAGAATTGTATAAATATAAAATGCTGTATTAATATTAATAATTCACATCTAGGTCAGGGGAATTCATCAGGGCTGGGCTGACATGGCCAACACCACCCTCAGGAGCAGAGACAGGTCCCTCAGCTGCCTGTCTGTGGCCGCTCTTGAGGTAGCTCTGTACATGTCTCCCACTAGGACAGGGCGGAGGGAAGCCATTGGCATTCTCCACCCCCTGCAAGTCCATCCTTGCCTTCACTTACTTGGCATAGGACCCAGCATGTGCTGCAATTGGAAGCCCATTTCTATTTGGCTGACTGAAGAACGGGAGAGAAGGTAGACAAATAGCTCAACAGTCAACTAACAATTTATGTGGCCATACTTCGTGAGTGGGGGCAGGGGGAGTGCTGAGAGGATTTCTACTGCTGTAAGCACATCAGGGCAGTTTGCTCAGCAAGAAGCAGTTCCTGAGGAAGCTGGGGGATGGGGTGAGGGTAGGATCAGACCAAAGACTGTGGATTAGGTTCCATTTGGCAAGTCGCTGTAAAGGTCAATTACCAAGCCAAAGGTTGGTTCACAACCTTGGGTCCAATGGTGTCATTCTCACTCTTTAAATCCCTTTCTCCTCTCATTCACCCCAAGCACTTACTCAGTGTTTGACACACCGTAGGGGCCCTCCTCAATGCTTATTTGCTGAATGTAATGGAACTGGGTTCAATCCTCTAGCCCCTTGCCCCTCAAAACACTGTTGAGTCAATTTTGACATACATGGTGAGCCCATGTGTGTCTGAATAGAACTGTGCTCTTCTGGATTTTCAAATTTGACTTTGCAGAAGTACATGGCCAAGCCTTTCTCCTGCAGTGCCTCTGGGTGAACTTGAACTGCCAGCCTTTTGGTTAGCAGCTGAGTGTACCAACTGTTTGCATCATTCAGGGACTCCCATGTACAATTGAATGGAAGTTCAGAATCTCAGGTCCCAGTCCAGACCTAATAAATCTGAATCTGCATTTTTAACAAGCTCCCCAGGTGATTCCTGTGTACCTTAAGGTTTGAGATGCTCTATTCTAACCAACCCACTTCTTGGATTCTTGCCAGCGTTTTCATTGGCTAAATGGCTAAATTGGGCGGTGTGTAGGTCAATCAATCATGCAACATTTGGCAATTATGACATCTGATTCCACGCTAAGAGAGACAAATTGGTGGAGTCACAGAGATGTGACCTCAGCAGCAGCAGTGGGATCTGCCAAGTATAAACTCTAGGCCAAATGACACCACTTCTTTCTCTTCCTGTGTGACAGCTCTGTTAACATTGGTGATAAATATGGATGATACATTTCCTTAAGAATACAGAGTCATGGGAAAAATGCTTGAAGAAATACATCAAAATATTATAGTGATCCCTGAATGTCTGAGAGGTAGGATTATGGGTGATAGTTACTTTCTGCATATCGTTTTCTAGGTTTGCCAAATATTTTACAAGAAGCACATTTTATTTTGTAATAAAAAAATAAACAACTTTTAAAATATGGTGATGTCTAGCAATAAGGGCACTCCACCCTACAGATGAGATTATTTAATCCAGGGAAGGGGAGTGAGTGGCCTACAATACCAGTGAGTCAGGAG